CTACCACTGTTCCTAAACGGCACCGTTTCATTCTAAGTAACAGGCTGGATTGGGTTGGGCTCAGTGATGATCAGAAGAAGGAAAAAAAAAAAAGAAAAAGAAAAAAACCAACAGATGGGTTTGGTTTGGTGATGATTTTGACTTTGTGAAAAAATGAAGAATTTATTTCAAGTGAATTGGATTATGGTTTGGACTTAATGAAATTTTATTTAATGGACTTAGAGAAAATATAAATTCATCTTTTAAACTTACATATTACAATTTCACGTAACACACTTTGAAAACTTTTATTCACAAAGTCAAAGTAAATTATACACTATCGTCATTATTATCCTTTTAAGAATTTGGTTAAAAAAGAGTAAATTATACACTATTTGTATATTAACTAGTAAAATATTCTTTCAAGAAAACTCTTCTATCTTTGGTAAAATATTACGTAAAAAAAAAAAAAAAATTTGGGAATTTACTTAAAAGCCGAGAAATTTTAAAACCCAATCCACCCTCTCTTGGGTTGTCTTAGACCGGTGAAATTAACGACTCAGAATGATATGTCTAACAGTAACGACTTTTATACTAGTTTTGCGTAAAAATTTTTATTATTTTTATTGTATGAAACTAATCGAAACTTTTTAACATTTCATCTTATAATAATTTTTTTAATTAAATATATTTTTCTTTTCACGAAAATACCTTTAAATTTGTTAACTGATAAATCTTTTTACATGCATGGACATAATTACCTAATAAAAATAGAAAAAATATATAAATTGTAAAAGAATAATATTAAAAAATAAAAATAAGCTAAAGTAAATGAATATGATACTTCTATATAAATTTTCATCAATTTATTATTAAAAATGCTTTTGTTATTATCATTATTAGCAATAATATAACAAAAGCAAACATAGTACAACTTAGACAGATAAACTTAAGTTGATTTTTTTAAAGTTGTACAATAAAAAAAAAATTTATTTAAAAACATATATACCTCGCAACGCATAATTGCAAAATTTTAATAAGGCACAAAAAGTACTTGCTTGATTTATAATATTACACATAAATTACTCGAGATTCTCATAATTATAGTAAGGTAGAATAGAGGTAGTCACTCTATCATCATCAGTGCCAAAGGACAATAGAGAATCGAGTGAATCATAACTCGACAATGCACAGTTTTTAAAATCAAAATCATCAGTCCAGTGGCAAATATTATTATCTTGATCAATACTGCTGTCATGACCAACATAATTGATCATGTTGCTATCATCTCTGCTCATGGCGGGCAATTGCTCATCAAATTTATCAAGAAAAAAGTTTGTCCAGTCTTCTTTAACATTATTGTCTTCTTCAAAGTTAATGGTTTCTAACCTTGAATATTGATCATGTCCTTCCAACAAGTTTATTGTAGACATAGGAGTCACAATATTACCGTAGTTCATGTCAAAGTCTTGCTCAACAACATCATTTTTTTTAGAGACCCCTTCCCAACAATTTTGCAATGTCATGTCAAGATGATCGAAATTATAACACGAAGACAAAAGACTTGTAGTAGCCACTGACATCTCTTGTAACGCACTGTCTGATAAGTTTGATGTAGATGAAGATAAAGAGTTTTCCGCATAAAATCCATTGCCCATATCATCACTTGCATAGCCACTGCTACAATGGGCATCATTAAGAAGGCCATTTTCTATAGATTTTGATAAGGTTTGTTTAATGCAAGTGAGGTTTGTGGCCATTTTATTGAGAAGCCTAGAAGTGGAAGTGGAAGTAAGCATTTTTGGTCCTCCTTTACAACCATCATGTCCTTCTATTAGTTTAGATAGAACAACATGAGTGATAGTAGGAGCAAGCTTGGTTGCTACTTTATTAAGCAACTTGGCAGATAATGAAATGGACTTGGACGACTGATGTAGCAAAATGTGCTCATGGTCCATAACAAAAGCATTACTAGTGCTAGGTGTTGACGAGCTACCAGGAGATAGGTTAACAAACTTATGAGTCATATGACCTACACATGTCTTAACCAACTCTTTCTTGATGTGTGTGTTCAAATAGTTTTTAATTTCGTTATCTGTTCTACCTGGTAAGTGTCTAGCTATAAAGGACCACCTGCATCACATATAATCATTATTAAGATAAATCTTTACGACTCATTACTAAAATTGGGTT